CAAAATAAGAGTCCCCGGGCCTGGGGACCCGCCCCCAGCCCGCCCCAGCCCCTCCGAGCAGCCTCTCCCTCAGTTCGGCGGCAGCAGCTCATTAATTAATTAATTAAATTAATTAATTAATTAACCAACCCCTCAGAGAACCCCTGTGCACCGGCGGGGCCGCGGCAGCGCCTCCGCGGAGCCCCCGGCGCGGCCCCTGCGGTGCCTCCGCTCGGTGCGGACACGGAGGGGCCCCGGGGGTCCCAGCGCTGCCGGGGGATGGGATGGGCTGAGGAGGAGAAGGAGGAGGGTGGCGGGGCGGGTGTCCTTCCCCTGGGATCCCCTCGGCATGGGGAGACTGCTCCCCGCACAAAGAGCAGAGACACCACTGGAAAGCTCTGCTCCAGCAGGGGCCGGGGGCAGCCTGGACATCGCCCACCCCACACTGAGGGTGCCCAGCATTTCCCATCCCGCACTGGGGGTGCCAACATCACCCCATCCTGTACTGGGAGTACCCAGCACCGCCTCATTCTGTACTGGGTGTGCCCAACATCGCCCACCCCGCACTGGGGGTGCCCGGCATTGCCCATCCCGCACTGGGGATACCCAGCCTTGCCCATCCCGTACTGGGGGTGCCCAGCATCGCCCCATCCTGTACTGGGGATGCCAACATCACCTACCCTGTACTGGGAATGCTAACATCGTCCCATCCCGCACTTGGGGTGCCCCATGTAGGATGTTGGGGACCGTCTGCCTTCATCCCTGCTCCTACAAAGCAGACCCGGCCTCTCCAGCGTTTGCTGCAGCTCTGCCTTCCCCAGATGGACACAGGGACGCAGCGGCCACTGGGACAAACCTCCCTAAGCCACCAGGGAGGGGAGAAGCTCCCAAAAGAAACCGAAATAACCAGGAACATGCTGAGTTTTTGCAGCCCATCACCACCAGCCACGGCTCTTGTTCGCCTCAAACCCATCCTGAGCGAGGGGCAGTGGGGCGAGGACTGTGCCAGTGCTCCCTGCTTTCCTGGAGCGGCTGCTGGGAGCCGGGGCAGGGCCGGGACAGGGCCGGGGCAGGGCCGGGACAGGGCCGGGACAGGGCCGGGGCAGGGCCGGGACAGGGCCGGGCAGCCGGAGCAGCCTCGCCGAGCTGCAGCCGGGCGGACATCGCCCTCTCCCGCCCGAGCCGGGCGAGCGGAGCCGCAGCTGCACATCCTGGGATTCCGGGCAGCAGGAAGAGCTCAACCCCAGCGCCCGGAGCTTCCTCCGGCCGCGGCCGCGTCCTTGCAGCGGCACCTGCCCGCGGAGCTGAGGCGAGGGGGATTGTAGGGTGGAGATCAGGAAAGGCTCTGCCCCCAGAGGGTGCTGGCACTGCCCAGGCTGCCCAGGGAATGGGCACGGCCCCGAGGCTGCCAGAGCTCCAGGAGCCTTTGGGCAGCGCTGCCAGGGGTGCCCAGGGTGGGGTTAGGATGGATGATCTTTGTGGGTCCGTTCCAGCTCAGGACATTCCATGATTCTGTGATTCACCTCCCCACCCCAGCCCTTCCCCTGCCGAGCTGCAGGAGCCGTGGCTTTGCTTTAACCTCAGCTCTAAACCAGGCTCCAAGCTCCAGCTCCAGTGGGGATCCTCCACTGACAGCCATGAACCACATCTCACCATCAGGTCTCAGCATCCAGACAGCTGAGATACCACTTATGATCATCACATACCCAGAGCCAAACACCCTTGGTTTTAAAAAAGATCATCTTTATTTACATTTTTCCAGTTCTTTACATTTGGGGGGTTAAAACCCAGGACAAAAATTCTCCCCAGAAGCCGTGGTAAACATGGAAAACTGCGAGTTTACATTTCAAAACCCAGTTATAAATTGCACAGAAGTCTTAGGTTGTACAGAGCCATCACAAATTGTTGTATAAAACCCCAAAATCTGTAAAGAGAACCACAGGAATAAAGAATTACAGCCACGAGTAGTGGTACAAGAAAGGGCACAAGTTTTGTGGGTTTTACCCTGCCAGTCTCTCTTGGGGAGGAGGGATGGGACATTCCTGTTGCAGATAGTTGCAAATATTTTAAAATATAGAATAAAACCCAAATGGAGCCTAGAACACCCTGTATCTCCTGTCTTGTGCTGGCTCAACAGGAAAACGTCCTAGCAGAAAATATTTATTTTTACAAAACTCCTGGAAGTTCAGTGGAAAGCTAAAAAAGAATCATTGTCAAAAAGAAAGAAGAATCTTTGCATCCCCCAATTCCCCTTTCCTCATGTCCTGCAGGCAGTGGGACAGCAGATGCCAAAGCAGAGTTTAGTTTAGGACACAAACAACATTGGAAAAGCCAAAGGTATGGGGGTGGAACACGTGGAGAGCAGGAAAAGAACAAAACCGTGAAGGACATAAATGCAGCAGGAAAAAAAAAAAAGAACTGATGATATTTTTGGTGTTTTCCATTGGACACTGAGTTTGGAAACAATTAACTCACAAGTTTCTCTCGTGCCCCACTGCTCCCCCTCCCCATTTCAAACAAACTCAAAAACAATTGCTTCAAAGCCAGGAATTAGAATGGATCCCTGCTTGCTGAAGTTCTTTCCCCAGAGCTGTGATCAGAAAAATGGGCTTTTCCTCTTTAGTTCAGTGTTCAGCAAGAGGAGGGAGGGATGACCAAGGGCCTAAAGGAGCTCCCCAAGAGGTGGAATCAGAGGCTGTGGACAGAGGGCAGAGGGGTTGATCCTCTCAGGAGAGGGTGAGTCCAAACTCAACCCCAAACCCAAACACTGGGTTTGCCCCACACCCAAAGCCCTCCCCAAGGACCTGCTGACAGTGCCACCCTGCAGGGAGGATCAAGGAGAGCTGGACCAACCCCTCCATCCTGCAGTGCTGGCCATTTCAAAGGGCTCCATAAAACATCAGCCAGGCTCTTTGGGTCAGGCTCCACTTCCCTGCACAGCCAAGGCAGGGCAGGAGGGGTGCAAAGCACTGATTGTCACTTTTAATCTCAACTCTCCTGCACAACGAGGCTGCTCAGAGCCAGCCCTGGCTGATGGCTGCTGCACCCTGCCTCTGAGGGGCCCTGCACAGCAGCTGGGCTGGGGAGCAGCCCTGGCCCCCAAAAGGATGAACACCACCCTGAGGTGTAGCTCCAGCCCATTCCTGCTCCCTCCACAGCAGCTGGTGGTGATGGACACTCCTCACCAGACAAGAGTGTCCCCATTTGCTGCCTGCTTTGCAAAGTGTACAGCAGGAGGTCCCAAAGACCAGGTTGTAGCAAATATAATTGGGGAGAGCAAGCTGAGGTGCACAGGAGCACTGCAGAGACAGGGCACAGCACAGGCTGGGTGGGGGCTCCTCCTCCACAGCCTCCACCATGGATGGGCCAGTCCCAAACAAAGGTGGAACAAGGACATTCCCAAACAAAGGTGGAACATTCCCAAAGGTGGAACAAGGAGGACAGCTGCTGGCTGGGAGTCTGGAAAAACAGCCCAGTGGCTCTGGCCACAGCAACCAAACAGCAATCTCATTTTCTAGCCAAGGAACACGGGCTGGACACATCAGCAGCAGCTCAGCCCCAGGGATGGAGGAGCTGGGAGACCAGGCCTGCTCCCAGCCCTTCCTGCCTCTCCCTGAGCCTGCCTGGGTCAGGAGCCTGCAGCCCAACCCAGCAGGTCCAGAAGCATTGACAGCTCACAGGAATTTTTCCAGGGGTGTGGAAGGGATTTGGGTTGAAGGATTTGCACAGCCAACAGCAAGGAAGGCCATGGAGCTGCAGACTGAGCCAGGCAAGTCTGGTTCAGCCATGTGGGAGGAAGAGGAAGAGCACTGAGGAAGAGCTGTGCCTGCCTTTGGCCCATTGTAGATGAGAATGATGCTCATGGCAGCACCCAACAAAGGAGAGCCAGAACCATGGAAGCTGGGCAGAAGCATAAGCTGAGAAGAGAATGAAGAAGGATCTTTGTGTCTCAGACACAGATCACACCCCAGGCTACCTGCAGTGACAACACTGAGGCAACACCTGCCTGCTTCAGCCATGGGATGACCAAAGTGGGCTGTGGGGAGGAGCCTTCTTCCACTCTCAATAAGTTTATCCAAATGGCTCTTTAGGAGCTGGGGCTGGTGGTCTGCAGCCCTTCCAGCCAGACCTTGGCTGTGCCATCTCCATCCTCCCAAAGGCAGAGGCTGCTCTCCCCCTCCTCCCCTCCAGCAGTGAGCACTGCCCAGGACTCCTGGGCCCCTTGGACAAGTCCTGGCTTTGGGACACAGGGCCTGGGAAGCAGCAGCGCTGCAGTGGCTGCTCTCTCCAGAGCCAAGCCTGTGGTGCCAAATTCCCTCCAGCCATGGGGAATTTTGAGCCTGGCCCTGTGGTCAGGCCACACCGTGTTTGTTTTCCCCAAGCTGCCTTGGCAGAGTTCACCACCCTTCCTGGTGAGAGCAAAAAAACTTCATTTTGTAAGAAATCAGCAAGGTGCATTCCTGATTTGGCATGAACAGGCACATGGATCAGCATCAGAAATGGATGAAAAAGCACAGCATTTCTCATAGAATAATTTATTAAATACAGCATTAAAATTTGTATTTCTGAATTCAATCATTAAAAACAACTTCATCTCATATATATATATATATATATTTATATATATTCAGGGACAATGACAATCACTCTATCATCATTGGTGCATCTTGTGCCAGCACTGCTCAGAACGGCACCTTTGCTACACTACCCTTAAAGCAGTTCAATGCGTAAAAAAAAATAAAATAAAAAAGCATTTGCAAAGAAAGAGTGCAAAGCAGGGCCTGTCCCAGCTGCCTGAAGGGTGTGCAGAGGTGGCTGAGCAAGGAGGCAGCAGCTGGAAATGCTCCTAAAGGTCTGTCAGGTATTGCCTGCCCAGCCTGGGGCCGTGTGGGGAGCAGCTCTGAGGTGCCAAAGGTCTGGAGACCACAACTCCAGCCTGGCTGGCACCTGTGGCTCTGAGGGATGTGGTTGTGGTTTCCTCAGCTTGGGCAGTCAATGCTAAACAAGGTATGTGTGGGGAAAAGCACAAAAGAAAAATTGCAAGAAAACCCAGCTCGTTCCCCCAGGTGCCAGGCGCAGCAGAGGCTGCAGCTCCCCACGGGTTGTGTTCATTGTCACATTCTGCTCAGGCCCAGGGGACACACAGCAACCAGGGCCACCACAGGGCCCTGGCAGGGACAGCCACTGCCAGGGACAGCCCCACAGACAGGGGAGGGATCCCTCGGGCAGGGCCCCTGGGCAGGCTCAGAGGTAGCATCAGACAGACTTTTGTGATTGACGGTCACTTAGCTGCAGCCTGGGAGGAGAGGGCACCCTGCAGGGACATGGAGTGTGGTCTCCCCCTGCTCCAGAGTGAGCAGTGCTGCTGTTCTGTGTGCCAGGGACCAGCAGTGAGCCAGGCTGGGCTGTGTCCCACAGGGCTCTGTGGGGAGAAGGACATCCCATCCCACACCAGGATATTCCCCAGAGCTCACCAGGGCTTATCAGCAAGTGTCCCCACGAGCCCCCCCTGTGCCCATGGCCACTGACACTGCCATCACTCCCCCCACAGCTCAGGTACAGTGAGGGTTTGTGCTTTTGGCTTTTCTAAAGTCCCTGACCTTCCGAACCTGCTTACTCCAAGAAACCTCCTGCTACCCTTAGGACCTCTGAGGACAAGGAGGAAGGGCTGTCAAAACCATTTGTGGAGAGCACACAGCCCCTGAAAGAGGGGAGCAAGTGCCCACAGCCCAGCCCTCCCTCAGAGTGGGGCTGTGCAGAGTCAGGAGTGTTTCAGATAAGGCATCGCAGGTGCTTTGATAGTAAAGCAGTTAGTGTTGACTACAGTACTGGAACAGGCTGGCCCAGGGCACAGGGCCACATCCAGCTCCCCAGCACTTGGAGGAGCTCCAAGGGGAGCTCCAGGGCCCCATCCAGCTCTCCAGCAGCAGCAGCAGACTGTTCAGGTTCCCTGACCTCTCCTACACACATGCAGGCTGCTCTGGCTGCCCTTTTTGGTTTTTTTACCCCCTCCCTAGAAAGAGACTTCAAAAGCCCAGGCTGGGATGTGGCAGCTCCCCCCCAAAGCAGCCAGAGAGACAAGAAGACGCCTTGTGCTGTACCAGACTGTGCCACAGGCGGGTGCCCCGTGGTGCCAGGGTGGGCAGTGCCAGCGGGGTCGGAGCAGGGGAGGGCTAATTGCCATTGCTGATGCTGGAGTTGGCACTGCTGCAGCTCTGCTCGTAGGATGGAGGTGCCTCTGTGGGGGAAAGGAAGAATGAGAGAGGTTATGGTGGGTTTGGGATGTTCCCTTCACCCCAGTCTGTGTGACCCAGGGCAGAGTGAAGCAACCCACCAACACACCCTCCCTGCCAGGGCCCCTCAGCCTGCCCAGCTGAGGTGCAGGGGCTTTGTAGGGTTTGAGCCAGCCAGTCCCATCCCTGCCCTGATCCCCATGGAGGTGAAAATCACAGCCTCACAGTCCTGTTCTGTTCCTCCCTTTCTTTCCTAAGAATCCTCCTGTCTTCCAACACCTCCAGATCACTCGTGCTCCATGTGCCCCAACCCAGGGCTGAAGTAAAGCATGGAGTGTTCTGTTACCCAGTGCAAAGAGAGGGGCTGATTTGGGTACAAATGTGCCAGCACACACTGCTGGCCTTGTCACCCGTGCACAGCCCCAGGGACCCAGCACAGCTCCAGGGATCCAGCACTCACTGCTGGCCTTGTCACCCCTGCACAGCCCCAGGAACCCCACAGACACTGCTGGCCCTGCCACCCCTGCATGGCTCCAGGGATCCAGCACACACTGCTGGCCCTGTTACCCCAGCACAGCCCCAGGGACCCAGCACAGCTCCAAGAGTCCAGCACACACTGCTGGCCTTGTCACCCCAGCATGGCTCCAGGATTCCAGCACACACTGCTGGCCTTGTCACCCCAGCACAGCTCCAGAACCCAGCCCTCACTGTTGGCCTTGTCACCCCTGCACAGCTCCAGGGATCCAGCACTCACTGCTGGCCCTCTTACCCCAGCATGGCTCCAGGAATCCAGCACACACTGCTGGCCTTGTCACCCCTGCACAGCCCCAGGAACCCCACAGACACTGTTGGCTCTGCCATCCCAGCACAGCTGCAGGATTCCAGCACGCTGGGATTTCCCCAAGCTGCTCCGCCCTGGACACTTTCTCAGCTCCCACCCACACAGCTTAGACCAGCTGCAGGCCCACTCCAAGTCAGACAGAAGATTTCAGTGACATCATTTTCCTGGCTGTGCTCCCACCAGCCTCACCACAAGCCAAGAAGTTTTTCTATCAGTGGGAGGCTGAAAGCTCTTTTAAGAACAGGGAGATCCTCTCACGACGAGCCCAGGGCAGGCCTGGGCGTGGATGTGGGAAGGACAGCTGGCTTGTACAGCTGGAAGAGGGGACTCCTCCAGAGGCTAAAGCAGGCAGAGAGCTGTCACAATCCCTCTGACAGCAGCCTGCAGCAGGCTGACTGAATCCCCAGATCCCCAGCAGTTCACAGCTAGCAGAGACTGAGGTAGGAGCTGTTCCTCCCCAGCTGCAGATCCCAGGAGTGCTGCTCACCATAGGGGTATCCCCACGTGCTGTACTCTGGGGGCAGGATGAGAGAGCTGGCTGTGGGGACAGGCACCACGTTCCCCTCAGCATAGTAGGGGACAGTGGCTCCCGTGGACAGGCAGAGGGTGGGGTGGTTTGGGGAACCCGTCTGCTCCGAGTCCGCCCGAATCTCCTGGAAGCTCAGTCCTGGGGCGTAGCTGAAGGGCTGCTGCTGGGAATGGCTTTTGGTGGGGATGGAGACATTGTCCATGGGGTGATAGCCACTGGCAGCCTCCTCTTCCTCTGGGGGGGCACTGGGGACCACCACAGATGGGATGTGCTGGATGGAGCGGGAGGGGCTCAGCGGGACCCTGTTCACAGCAATGTTTCCAATGTAGATGGGGAGAGTGACAGAAACCTCTGGAGACTTGAGGGAAACCTGGAAGAGAAGGGAAAACAGTGGCATCCTCATGACACATGTCAGTGGGAAGGTTCACCTGATGCCTGGAGCACCCAGACCACAGTGCTCAGCCTGGGAGGGGGCACAGAGCCACGGCCCAGCCCAGGGATACTCCAGATAAACTCACCTGGATGTAGTAGTCAATGTGGATGAGGCTGCAGCCCTGCAGAATGGACTGGGGCAGTGCTGGAACCAGGATCTGCTCCTTCCATTCTGCATGTTTCCAGGCTTTCACCCCTGAGCCTTCCACCTCGGCGATGGTCCTCAGGTCGTAGATCCAGCGCTTGGATTTGTAGGCCACTTTCTGCACAGACAGGAGAAACACAGCTGGCTCAGAGGCTGCAGGTGGTCTTCTGTCTCCCACAAATGTAAACCAGGACACAACCCCACCCAACTGCTTTGTCAAATAAGCACAAGCACAGACATAAGAGGCATATTCCAGGAATACCCTTGCTGTGTGACAGACTCAGCAGGGATAAGCAAGACAAGTTCTAGATCCTCTTTCCCCAGGAAGGCAGAGAGGACCAGAGGTGGGGATTTGGCTGCCCCAGTTTCACAGAGGCCCCAATAGGGTGGAGCAGCAGCACAGGGCAGAGGATGGCCCCATGGGCACCCACCTGGAGCAGACTGGCCACCACAGCGCCGGTGTCGCGGCCGGACTTGTTCTCGATGTCCGTGCGGAGCTGGATGGCCTGGCCCACGATGTAGCCCTTCAGGTCAGATGTGGCTGTCAGGATGATGTTGCCACTTTTCACAAGCTTGTAGTTGAACTTCTTGGTGATGGACATGGTGTTGGGCTGCTGCAGGACGGCACAGACAGAGGTGTTGGCTCAAGAGAGTCAGAGAGCCTCTGGGAAAACACTCAAGAGATTCACAACAAGCAAGCAGATGAAATATTTGCATCTAAGAGGATGCAAAGAACCAGCAACATGGCAATGCCACAGACAACAGGTCTCACTTCTCCAGCCCCACAGATCTACTGTCCTATTAGTTGCTTTCCCCTCCAAAGCAAGTTCCACAAACCCAAGTGCCTCCAAGCACCTGAAGCTGTTGGCCAACATGTTTCTCTGCATGCTGAAAATTCAGATAAACCTTTCAGAGCAACACACACAAGGGTCAGAAATCACCTGGAGTAGGCACTGACAGCAAGGCAGGAGAGATGAGGAGTCCTTGTCCTGCTCTTGCATAGTCACAGCACACAGTCAGAGCTGTCCAGCCACTCAGTGACTCCTCAGACAGCAGGACAAGGACAAGTGCTGAGTGTTGGCATTTCCAGCCATGCCCTCCTCGTCCTTACCTCGATGTCAGGGATGTCGTTCAGGTTGAGAGGGCAGAGAACGTAGAAGATCTTGTTGCATTTGTAGTCCTTGGAGAAGCGAGGTGTGTCTATCACAGCTTTCACCTGATGCAGGACCTTGCCAAAAGGGCCTTCAAATGATGTAGGAGCAGAAGCTGGAGTTGAGAGAGAAAGAAGAGGTCATAAGGCTGAGCCAGGCCAGATTCTGAACTGGAAGTATATGCAAAATCCAAGGCTTACAGGGAAGGGCCTTCAGCCACTTTTCTGCATCTTACCTGGCAGCAGGAACTGGAAGGGAAAGTTGTGTTCTCCAGCTGTCAGGACCCCTGTGGAAACAAGAATGAAGTGTTCATGGGACAGGCTGAGAGGCTGTTACCTTGGAATGTGTGATCTGGGAGAGAGAAGCCACCACTCAGGAATCACACACCACCTGCTCTGCTGCCACTGGACAGCTCTAGACCCAATGGGCAGTGCTTGAGCCAACAGGAGCACCTGCTGCCACCCACCCCTCCCTGGGACAGGAGAGGTTCTGTAGGAAGATATCCTATAAATAAGGTCATTTAGGCAGGCTCTAAGTGACCCCAGTGCCACAGCAAGTGGTTATCCCAGGCTGTTGACACAGGACACAGAGCAGGGCTGCTGTGGGTTTATTTTTCCTCAAGTCAGTCCCCTGTCAGGCAGTCAGGGGAATGTGAGAAATCACAGGCACTGTCTGAGGGTGGCAGGGAGTTCTGGTGGGCATCAAGCCACTCCACCCTCAGACACATACCAAGCCCTTCACAGACAGGGTCCAGGAGCTGGAACCAGAGGTACACCCACCCCTGGACCCAAGAAAGGACCTGCAATACCTCAGCCTGGCTGTTGGGACAACAGGAGCTCAGAAAAATATTGCCACATCAACCTTGGCACTTGTTTCCTTCAACCACTGCTCTGCAACAGTCTCGAGGGCCCAGGGCAGAGCCAAGATCCTGTGCATGGCTGAAACAACAGATTCCTACTCCCCAACTCCATCCACCCTCCAACACTCCCAGATCCCCTCCAGGGCAGTGTGACAGCTGAACTGAACCCACAGTGTGATCCAGCAGCTCCTAAAGTTGCCTTCAGTAAGAAAACCACCGAGGTTTATCCATATTTGTTAAATCCATGCATACACAAGAGGTTTTGTTTTTAGAGTGGCAGAGCTGAGAGGGACACCTGGATGCCCAGTAAATCGAGCTGTGTTTGTTCTGCTCTGCAGGATCATTGCTGGAGGTAGCAAAGCCCTCTCTGGCTGTTGCTTTTGTTGTTGCAAGGCAGGGGGAGGCAGCTTGGCCTTTAGCAACGCTGGCTCTGCAGAGCTGACAGACACCGAGCCCTGTCGCCAGGGGATTAAGTGGATTACATGGAAGGGGGAGTGGGGAGGAGAGGAGTAAATCCTCCCCACTGACACAGCAGCCCAGGCAGGACTTGGTGCATCATTCATGCTGTGAAAAGCCAGATCTCTGCCTGTCTCCTCATCCCCAGCCACCGCATGGGGACGAGGCACAGGGAGTGTGTCCCCACAGCGCCGGGACAGAGGGATAAACAATCCAACACACACATCGTGGATTTCTGCAAAGGGAGAACACCCCCCTGCAAAGGGACAACAGCAGAGATGGCTATTTGTACTCTTTGTACACTGTGGCCTCACAGAGGAGCAGGATTTGCCCACTGCCATCACCTCCCTGCAGATTCCCCTGCGGTTCCCCGAACAAACCCGAGCTATGTAGGCTAAAATGCAGCACCCGGCGCTGTCAGCAGGTGGAGGCACCAAGCCAGGCTGTGCCCTCGCTGCCAGGGCTGGGGCTCAGAGCTGGCAGGCCCCGAGGCAGCTGTGGGACCCCTGCCCTGCTCCCTCCTGGGCAGCCCGGCTCAGTGAAGGTGCCAGCTGAGCTGCAGCAGGTGCCTTGGCAGGTTCAGGATAAAGCCTGGTTAATGTGAATGACTCCATGAGCCCAGCCCTTGTTTGCTGCCCTGAGGGTTTCTGTTTTTAACAGGCACCATTCAGCATTGATCTCACACCCATTATCTCTATTTTAGAAAGCAAATGGCTCACTGGAATACATCGACTGTCCTGTGCAGCTTCTGCATTGCAGCACAGGGACTCTGCACCTGACAAGGAGTGGGAGCAAGGGCTGCTCCTGCCCTGCACAAGGGAGGTGGGAGCTCCAGAGGGTCACTGAGAGAATTCCACTGAGGATTTCCACCAGGAGAATTCCCAGCTGTGTGACATGCAGAGCCCCACAGGAAGGTGCAGGCAGTAATTCTGAGCCTCCTACCAGCGGCATGAAAGTTCACAGACTTTCCAGGACCCTTAGGATGAGCCCACAGACTCCACCAAATACAAGTCCCTATTCTACAGGGAAAAGGGACTGCCTATAACAGGCAGCACCATCCAAGAAGTCATTTCTGTCCAAGTCCTGCCCAGCTCAGGTGCACCAACAGAATGTTGGGCTGGAAGTGAACCTGTGAGCACTTTCACAGTTTCTAACTCCCACAGCATCACTGAGCAAGGCCTTGAGCTCTCCCAGGAACACATGTGGACAGCATCTCCCTCAGAGGAGATGGTTTGTGTGGCTCACTGGCACTGAGGCAATTTCTGCACAGGCAGCCCAAGCTCTGAGCAGGTCCCCAGGTGGGAACTGCCCACAGGTCAGCCCAGACCAGCCTGATGGTCCTGACCCAGCCCAAGTTTCCTGTTAGCTGTGACCCCCTGAACAGGCTGCAACTCCCTCCTGCAGCTCCTGCCCGCAGCAAGCTGCCCACGAGGGCTGGACAAGGCCCTTCCTGCCCTTTGCAGGCAGACAGGAGGTCCCAGAGCAGCCACCCCAGACTGAAGCTGTTCCTGCCACAGCTCACACTGACCAAGGGCAGCATCTGGCTCATGGGCACAGAGCCCTGACCCAGTCCTGAGCTGAGCAGGGAAGCACAGGGAGCCCTGATCTCCACTCCATAGAGCAGGGAGATGCTGCAGGTGACTAAGAATGACTCTTGTTTACAGACCTGCTCCTTCCAGCCCACTCCCCTTCCCCTAAGAAGGAGAAGCATCTTTAGGCATCCTCAGTATCCCAGAGGGGGCATTCCAAGGCACCCCCTGGTACAGAAAGGAGCTCAGTGCCAGGGCTATTTCACAGACAAGGGTTAACAAAATTAAGATAAAGAAAAGCCAGTGGTCCTGACTGAGATAGGACACTCCTGTGAAAGCACTGGCACAATCCAGAGTGCCTGGCAGAGTGACAAGGCAGCAGAGCCCACAGGTGAGCTGGGTCCTGCCTGCCTCCCACTGCAGCAGGAGGAAAGGCAGATATTCAGCAGCAGGAGGAAAGGCAGATATTCAGCAGCAGGAAAGGCAGATATTCAGCAGCAGGAGGAAAGGCAGATATTCAGCAGCAGGAGGAAAAGCAGATATTCAGCAGGAGGAAAGGCAGATATTCAGCAGCAGGAGGAAAGGCAGATATTCAGCAGCAATCTGGGCTCCTTCTTGCTTCTCCTGCAGAGGCTCCTCCAGCACGGGCACAGCAAAGGCTCCATTTGCAACTTGGAGTTACAAAACCATTTCTGTCTTCTGCCTGGTGGAAAGTTGGCAAATCCCAAACCAAGCACCCTTACAATGGGAAGGGAGGTGGCAACTGCCTCTAAACTCTCCAGCTGGCAACTTTGCTCCAAAAGGCTGAGCTTCCATTCCCAAATGCTGACTAATCTTGCTGTAATAGGGGAAATCTGCAACTTCCCTTGTCCCAGCTTCCCTGTGAGCATGGGCAGGGCACAGACTGACCTTGAGCCAACACCCAGGTACTTCTGCCATGGAAAACAGGAGCAAACTCAGCTCTTGCAGTGTCAGTCCAGCACAGTGGCTGGACACTGTGTGACACAGGGCAATGTGTGTCTCACCAGGCCTTGAACAGATCCTCAGATCAGAGCAGGGGAGATGCAGCATCAGGCAGAGTGTCCAGAACCTTCCCACAACATCCCCTGTCCAATTCCAGCATCCCAGCAGTGAGGGGAACACACAGCCCATGGGGAGCCACTCATCACCCCTGTCCCTCCAGCCCAGAGAGCTTCAAGCAACATTCCAGGACATTTAATGTGCTAATTCCATCTGCAAGTGGACTTTGTAACAGAGCCTGTTGTTGGCAGCAGGCAGGGATGAGCTGGTTTCCAGCCATGGTGGAGCCCATGGCCACCCCAACACCTGCCCTTTCCATCCTCCTCCAGCACCAGAGGCTTTGCCAAAGCCGTCCCCAGCCTGGGCAGGGCACAGCAGGGCAGTGGGGCCTCAGCACTGCTCCAGGGGGCACTGAGACCCCTCAAACAGGGGCAGCTCACAGACCCTGTGAGGGGACAGGGCTGTGCCAGCCACGCCAAGCCAGCACCTCCCCATTCCCAGCAGCCAGAACAAAGGCCATGGTGTCCTCAGATGCAAAAAAGCTTTTCCTGAAGTTGATGTGCAGCTAAAAATACCTTGAGAAAGTCGTTAGGCAGCAGAGGCAGCAGGCTTGGCAGGGCTCTGCTGTGGGGCCATACCTGCAGCAGCCTGTCCCCCTGATAGGAGCCAAGCCAGCAGAGATTGGCCACCCCCACACAGCCTTGGGAAACTTCCTCCCAGAACATTCCTGCAGGGAAAGAAGCTGCTGCCCCAGACAGCCTGGAGAAAGCTCAAGTGCAGATAGCAGGAGCAGTAACAACACACCCATAGTGCAGAAGAACCTTGGGGATGTCCCTGAGCCCAGCAGAGATAGGGCTGGTGTCTCATTCATGGCTCACCTGCTCCTCATTGGGGCTGGGGTTGTTCACTTGTACCACTGGATATGGAGGAGCCCTGGAACATTTCATTTACAGAAAATTCCTTGATCCAGAGGGATCAAGTCTTCTGGATCCCCAAGTTATGCTGGGGTGCCACCCAGAGAGACCCTGCCAGGCTGAAGGGGCTGGGCCTGTGGAACCTTGGGAAGTTTGGCAAGGCCAAGTGCAAGGTGCTGCCCCTGGGTCAGAGCAGTCCCAAGCACAGAGACTGGGCAGGGAATGGATGGAGGAAAGGCCTGAGGAGAAGGGTTTGGGAATGGTGGTGGATGAGAAGCTCAGTGTGCCCCAGCCCTGTGTGCTGGCCCCAGAAACCCCCCTGGCCTGGGCTGATCCCAGCGTGGGCAGCAGGAAAGGGGGGACTCAGCCCCTCTGCCCTGTTCACACCCCACCTGCAGAGCTGCCCCAGCACAGGGAGGAGCTGGAGCGGCTGGATGAGTCCAGAGGAGGCCATGGAGATGCTCCCAGGGCTGGAGCCAGGCTGGGAGAGCTGGGGGTGCTCACCTGG